TTCATGCCAAGGACGGGGTAGCAGGACTCTGAAGATCTTCATGATCTACTGGGTTTCTTCACTGGGCACTTATTCCGAGAGATCTGTGAAGTGAAAAATGCAACAGCATACGAACGTTGGCAACTCACATTTTGATTTATTAGTGTCTTAAAATGTTTTATTGTGAAAATTTTTGAACTGTACCATAGTGAATAGCTAGTAATGGTCTGATCATGTTTTAAAGGTTTTAGTCCTTGCTGACGTGATCTTTTTCTTTTTAAATGGATTAGCTGGAGACTTACCAGGTATTTTTCTTTAAAAACCCACAACTTTTATCAGCTGTGCGCTGCTCAGCGTTGCTTTCAAATCTGAAAGAAATCTACTGAGTTGCAAAAGGACAAGGGAGTATGGGATCACTACTAGAGGAGTTGAGGCAGCCTTTGAAAATGCTGTGCATAATCTACATAAATCAGCTTTTTGTTATGTTTATCATAGTTCCAACATCAACCAAGATTGAAGGCTGCCTGTATGAGGCACGTATATAGAATATGAAAGAAGAGATACTGCTTTGCTCAAGGGGGATATAAGGCAAGGAGGAATCTATAATGTATAAAACAACTTGTCTGAGGATAGCAAAGTATTAGTTCTACAATTTCTTTGTTCCTGTTTTATGTCAGGAGGGACGAGCTAAGCAAAGCAGGTGGTTGGATGAGTGTCGGGAGCTAACAGCCATTCGGTATAACTTCGTGTTTAGAGGGAAATGAAGGAGAGCAATATGGTAATGACTGCTTTTTCTATCAAGCATAGTGTCCTCTCAAGCTATTTTGGATTGTGTCTTTTTCATTCTCATTTAAAAAAAAACAACAAAGCCCCCACTTCTTCAGAGATGAGAGCTTTTTTATGGTGTTGGACTTCTCTTATTCCAGTTCTGTCCATGTAGCATTTTTGTTCGTTTTTGCTGTACCTCATTCTGGTCACATGTCCCAAAGTACAGCGTTTTACTGTTAACAGTAATGCTATTACAGTTTTTTTCTTTCAACATGATGCAATCTCCTTTCTCTGAAGCAGCATGTTGTTTTTATTGTCCAGAAGTTTACTGTCTGCAAGCTTGCAGTCTGCAATTGCAGCAGCTCACTAGTTATGTGTTGAGAATAGAGGATTGTTAAAGATGCTATTGGAGAGGAGCGTGCTAATAAAGGGATGCCAGCTACCTTAGTTTTGCAGAGTGTGGAAGGATTGCGTTGAATTTGCTTTGTAAGGATTCCTGTGAGTTGTATTGAGCCCCTGAGAGGCTCAGTGTATTGCTGGTTGCCTCCCTGTAGTAACATGGGTTAGTTTGGAATAACAGTAATAATAAAAGTTCTGCCTGCCACTTTCACCATCTGCTTCCCGCTCTAATAAAGCCTTAAACAAACTCATACATAACAAAAAGAAAGCTTTGCTTTCTTTACAGCTGCAAAATGGCTCAGGTGCATACATATGGAAAATGGAGGTGTCCTCTTATCGTAGCTAGAGGCTGTGCCTGTATACCTTGCGTGTTAAGTGCTTGTTGTGGTTTTTAAGGCTAAGGCTGCTCGTATTTTGATGAGAAGCACTTGCATTGAGTTATAGCCTGAGAAGGAGTCTTGAAACTTGAGGACTGGGGAAAAGGGGAAGGAAGGAAGGCGAAACACTTTCTGAGCATTGGGAATGTCTGGACAGCTACATTAGCTAAATGCTACCATTTATCAGGGTAATGATGATTTCTTGCTTGGATGTTAGAATGTTGTGATGAAAAATCTATATTAGGGTAAGGATTTTAAAATCTATTGAGATGAAGATAAATTTAACAACACTTTGATGAAACTGGCAATAAATGATGAGAATTTGCATGTCTTTATGCTGATGGGAATCATTATCGTCATAGCTGGAAGGAGCATCTTACTGTGTGAAATGCTGGAGAAGAAAGGGAAGTGGAAGCTTGGAAAAGTGTTGAGTATTCGTCAAGACATAGTTCTCTAAATTCGCCTTTCGAATAGTTATATGCCACATCGGTCATAATACTAGCTGGAGAATGTCCTCTCCCACTGCTGTTTAGACTTGCTTATCTTGGGTACAGAGCATCAGAGTTTGTACAGTTGTCCTCCACAGGGCCACCGTACTACCGCACGCTAATGCAGGGCATCGCTGCTGCCCGTTTCTCCCTTGGTACAAGATTATTGTAGCAGCTATTCAGCTGCTCACAACAGCTCTGTATTCAACTAAACCACCTCTTCAGCTTCACATCTTGTTCTGTGTCTCCTCCCCATCATACAATAATCATTTATATTCCAGTATTGGGTGTGCCAGCAAATGCTGGCAAAGTAGGAACCTGACACAGTTTTGGTGGCATTTTTATTGTACCCAGGCAACGAACATTCTTTGTAGGCTGCTCCAAGTTCTGCTTGGGGTCTAGTACAGTGAGTATGCTGTCCCTGATGGTTTCCCTGGAGAGAATTCCAATTCAGCGTCTTGTGATATGCATAAAATCATCTGTTACTGTTTGTGATACGTTTATAACTCTCAACTCTCATTGGCTTTGTGTGACATAGGATTGCGTGCTCCTTATAGCTTGATATTGCTTCATATATAGTAGGACATAAAACCAACTCCCCTGGGCAAAGGCAAGCGTTTGTCCTGCTGTGATCACTCGGGTTCAGGAAACTGCTTCATCACATGGTAACTTTGTAGGAGGTTAATAATTAAACTGTGGCTGCATTTAATTTATGTCCCCTTGCTTTGCGAAGGAGGTTAATTTCATGAAAAAATGACGTTTTCATAATGTATTCTGTTACTCTCTTAGTTTTGAGAGCTAAACTAATCATCGCAGTGTGAATTTTATACTGCCTCTTCCACAAGATCAGCTTACCCATTCAGCTAGCCAAACGTGTATCTTAGAGTGCCTTTGTGTTTACAAGAATTGGAAATGGCGAGAGAATTGAATCTCTTGTCCTAAAGCAAGGCTTTCAGAGTCACCTCTATTAGCAAATCTGATTTAATTTGTTGTTGTTAGCCTTTTATTAATGGAAGCATAGGTAATGCTTCTTTACCTCTGCCTTAAGAGAGACTAGCAGCAGCTTTGGGAAGAGATTTACAGAGCTTAGCTATGGTGAATAGATGAGGGAGAATTTAGTATGGCGTAGACTGGGGTGAAAAACAGTATTAAGGAAGATGACAGCCAGGCTAGCATGGAAGAATGGTATTGGCGTTCTTGAGGAATTGTCTTCTGCACTCGCATTCTCTTTTACTTTAAAATTTTTTTAAAAATATTCTTTTTATAGAATTTTGTAGAACGTTAAGCTTTTCTATATGTAATATGTGTGTGTAATGAATAGCATTTTGTGTATCTTGAAAGATTTAGGTTGCATTTTGTCTCAATAGGATTTTTGTACTCTTTTCTTGCGCATTGTCTTTCGCCACTTAGAAAACGTCCAAATACTGCGTTACGTAGCTGGCATAAACAAGACCTCCCAGGCAATAAATGGCTGAGGCACACCTTTGGGTCTGAGGATAATGCCAGGTGTCACGCTGCTTCTGGTAGATCGCAGACTTCACAAATCTAAAGGGAAAAGGCACTTTGTGCCTATGTGTGAATCTAATTGTCAGTTCTTGGTGAGAGCTGGGGCTGGTGAACTTGGCATTTGTAGCGTTTGGAAGTTTACAGGTAGACCCTTTGAAGACTTCTTTGAGTTTTTTTGGTTTTTTTTTTGCTAAGTTGGAAACTTCTGCTGACAACACCAAGAAGCTGAACCTGCAATTAAAAACAACTCCCCCCACCCCCAAAAAAAACCCAAACCCAACACCAAACAGGCAAGAAAACCCAACTCAAAAAAACCTCACCTACCTAACCATCCCAGTTTCAGTCTAGTGCCTGTCTGAACTGATAGAAGTCTTGGCCAACTTGAGCCTACATCTTTAAGAATGGAGATTATTGTGTACGCCATATGCTGTTGGCCAAATTATTTCGTTCGTAGTCAAACAAGTGAGAGTAATCGCTCTCTAAATCCTTGTCTATATGAACCTCATTATAGCTGTTCCTTTATAGCAATTACTGTTGCAGAAGCAGTTTTTGTTGGGTGAGCAAAGGGTGGCCGTGCTATGTTTAGGCAACTGTCCAGCAGAAAATTATGCTTGGGGTCCGTAAATACACGGTAGGGACTCAAAAAAGCCAAGATATTACAGAATTGATGACATTTGAAAGCTTAAAAAATGAAACTTTCTTGATCAGCTGTGAAGAAAGAAAAATTCTCAGTACTCTTGCTCTTCTTATTTGGATCACGGAAAGAAATACTGTTGGGGATGTTGCTGTGCAAGCTGCTTGTGAAGGAACTAGCTAGTGATGACAAATTAGTAGAAGGCATTTTCTTTATATGGTATTTCCAACTTTCCATGACTGAGGGCTGTTCAGTGAGTTACCTGAAATAAATAAACAAAAATTAGAAAAATAAGTGGTTGTCTTTCTGTTACTTTTTAGCTACACCAATAATCTGTTGATAATGTATTTTAGGTTCAGGTTAGACACGTAAGAGAAATTGGTAATCAGTGGTAGGTATATTTAAAAATAACTGGCAACTTATGGATGTGCTGTGAACTTTATAGCTAATTATCTGGTTTTGTTTTCTTACAGTCAGATTTTCCTCTGGTAGTTCATAAACTGAAATAAACTTCAAGTTAAATGTGTGTCGAAGCTGCTCATTTTTTCCACTTTGTTCTATTGAAGTTTCTGTGGAGTCTGCACACAAAACAGAACAACAGTTTGACTGGTACATTCGTATTGAACCAATGGAAGTACAAAGTCACTAACGTGCAAATTTAACCTACAGATGTGTGACAGAAAAAAATAGTGACATGGAACATTGAGAGACTTAAGTGAAGTAAAATATGCTTATTATGGGGAGTGTCTTAATTACTTGTTCAGAAATTTTACATGCCATAGTGTTACAAACATTAGAATACTTTGTTTATTGCAGAATTAATTCATTCCTGCCTTTCCTCTGCCACAGGTACTCATTATACAATGACAAATGGAGGAAGTATCAACAGTTCAACACATCTACTGGATCTTCTGGATGAACCAATTCCTGGAGTAGGAACATACGATGACTTCCATACCATTGACTGGGTTCGAGAGAAGTGCAAAGACAGAGAAAGGCACAGACGGGTACTTGAGATAAATAACAATACTTGGAAAATGTGTTTTGTTGGATGTTGGAATTAAAGTCTGATCTAGTAACGCATATGAATATGTGCATGCTTTAAATTTGTAAGTAGCTACATCAGCTGGAACTACTTGAATGCTATTAAAAAAGCACCATTTCATTGATACCTGCAGTCCCGCAACACTATTATAACTTGGAAAGGAAACGGTAATTTAATAGAGGGGGAACAGTTCCTCGTCACCCAAATGACATTTTTACAGTACTACCTTTTTGCTTGCTAGTATATTTAAGGGCATTTTCCGGTCTAGATAGATTTGTAATAGTACAGTAGTGCTTGTGATTGTACTTGTACAGAAAAGTGAGCACTGATGTATCTTGCTTTTATACTGACACAAGTTTATCTCTGGTACTGCTATGTGATGCAGTGGTGGTTTGGATTATGGAAAGTGCAAATTCTCATATCTAAAGCACTTACTTCAGTGTATATATATATATATGCTTAACAAAAAATAGTCTCTGTATGTATGGTAAACGGCCTTTCCACTCTCCCATCACGGAACTTGCTTTTCTCCTCTTCTCTGTTGATTTCTTCAGAAGATCTTCAAAGTTCAGGCCATTTAGCTTTGTCAGTGTGCTCTGCTAGGAGTTCTTTCATGAAGGGGACACAAGTTGTATTAGTAACGTGCTAGATGCTGTCAGTCGTCTAATAGACTTTAACATTTTAGGAGGAAATACGCTGTTTAGAACCTTACAGCCAAACTTTTGGGATGCTTGTGTTAATTAACCTTAAAAACAGAACAGATTTGGAGATGTGATTTCTCCTAAAATATTTTTAACTAATCAAGATGAATAGTTAAAAATTAATTGTAATTGTATGGAGGGGTCAGAGGAGAGGTTCCTTCATGTACAAAACTGTAGTGTTATTCTGCTTTCTTTGGAAACACCATTTTTAACTTTCGGGAAGCAAATGTAGGATGTATATGCTGATTTACTTTGACATGATTAGAAAAGATAATCTTACACTAGTTTAAAAAACAAAACATCCCCAATTGCTCTATCTAGTGCTTTTTTTATGGAAGAGTGGATCTAAGAACAACGTACTTTGTTTGAATGCTTTTAATGAAAAGTAAGAAGGTGTTTTCTGTGTAATACTTTATTTCATAACTGATGTCTAAGCAGTAATTAACACAGTGCCGTCTTTATGCCGCAGATGTGTAGGTTAGTGTCTAGTGGATATACCGTTGGATACAATGCTGGGCAAGGTGGGTCTCACCTGGAAATAAGTTATCTATAGGGTGAACTCTCACCGTTGTCACTTATTTTAATGTCTTGAGACCAGAAAAGTCAGGCAAGACAGTTCACAGTTTATAGTCACAGAACTACTGTGAAATTTATAAATATGCCCTGAATGATAGGAGACTGTCTGGCCATACAATCAAAGATGTAGAAAGAAGAAGGAATGAGTACTAGTTCATGGTGGTTTTGAAAGACATGCTACTGTAGAAACAACTTTTTATTAAAAAAGGAAAAAAAAAAAAAAGTTTGAGAATCTCCCAAATGTAGAGGAAACTCTCAAGTATCTGTATTTGCTTTAGGTGTGGTATTTTTTTCTAGACTTCCTTGTCTAGTACTGTGCTTTCTTGTTTGTTCGTTTTTTTTCTGTTTGTGGCACATACTTTCTCTTTCCTTTTGCAGTAAGAAAAAATCATATGAATAGGATCCAATTACATATTGAAGGTTTAATCATAAAACAAGTTATGTACAAATTTCAGCTAAGTGCACAAAATAAATAAGGCTAAAATAAGAATTACTGTTTTTTTGGTACAATCACTTTAGATGCCATTTAGTAATAGTTGTCTAAAAGTATTATAGGGTAGTTACCCAGTTTTTGGTTTTGTTTTATTTTTGTGTGGTTTTTAGCCTAAAGATAAAGATACTTATATTTGAAATAGAAGTTTAGGAATTTGAATTGTATCGAGTAGCTTATTAGTAGTACGCTAACAGTTTATTTGAGGTTCAACAAAAATAGTTTAAGATTTAGGAGAGAAATAATTTTACAACTACGTGTTTTAGATGTGTATCATAGAAGGTATTCATTTATCCTAATAATGCATTTCCTGGGGAAATTCTTTAAATTAAGCGAATTTACTTTCCTCTGTCAGTTTTTTGATGTCTGAATAACCAAGCTGATTTATCTGTGTAAAGCACTAAATACAAGATGTTTGTAGTTTAAAGAGAGGGTATGTTTGCCTACAGCTTGCATGATGCAGTTTGTATGTCATGCTTACTTTTTTTCCTCGTATTCCTATTACAGAAACACATACAAGTGCATGATTTCTCTTTGCAGATTAACAGCAAGAAGAAAGAATCGGCATGGGAGATGACAAAAAGTTTGTACGATGCATGGTCAGGATGGCTAGTAGTCACACTAACTGGTTTGGCATCAGGTAAATTAAAAACCAGATGATTTCTTTCTTGCATTTGTCAGCAAGTATAGTTACTGTGCTTTTTGTTTGTGTGTTATCCACCAACCTGGATAAGAGCTGGTTCAGACTAATACCGTAATTCCATGAGGGAAGGAAAAGGTTGACTGTCTTGATTTACAGGCTTTAGCATTTTGAGGGGAGGGTTTACTAATCAAATGGAAAACAAAATCCTCACTGAATTTAGTGAGAGTTTCTCAGAGTTATTGAACTTCCACCTACTAAACTATCAATGTTCTTTAATCCTGTGATTGAGATTGGTGTTTTCCCTTTCTGTGAAGTTTTGCTTTTTTTCCCTGTAGGATTTCTTGTGCAAGTGTATTAATTGATTGTGCGAGATGGGTTTTCCGCTATAAATTTGTTTTGGTGTTTGTGTTTTGGTTTGGTTTTTTTGTTTGAGAGTCTTGTGTGGTTTTGTTGGTTTGGTTTGGGTTTTTCTTGTTCCTTTTTGGGTGGGTTTTTTTTTTCTAGGAACTTGACTGAATCCATTAGCTTATTCCAGGTGGCCCAAAAAGTAGCTCTGGTGTATGAGTGGCTTTGGTAAACACGCTTCCTGGTAAAGTGTGTGTTTATACATGAGCAGAGTCTTACTGTATGTTTGTGTTGTACCTTTCTAGAAGTTGTTACACAGGAAATAGTAGTTTTAGCAGGTGGAGTTTGTTGAACCTCTACTTCAGCTCTTATCTTTTTGTTTAAATGTGTTTTAGGATAAGTTTTACAGCTGAAATAATCTGATAGTTTGTGGCCCCACTGTCATGCAGTGCAACTTTCTATCAGTTTGGAGGGACCAAAATGTGCAGGAACGAGAAGTCACAAATTTTGTGCCCAGTTTTTCCGAAAAGGTATTTCAAATGGAGATCTTGGATTATATGCTAGGAAAATTGGATTAGTTGCAGAGTATGGCTATGCCTGTTAAAAAGGCACAGTAACTGTATAATTACTACTTAGATATATACATAATCACTTTCGCAAATCACATATAAATTAATATATATGCAAAATTTGTGGCATGTTTGTGTACCTCTGAATGTACAAACTGGGAATGTGTAATTACTAGAAATTGCTTGTGATGATTTGGGTGGGAATGTGCAGTGTTGTGTTTCCACCTCCCAAGCTTTACTATATTTCTGAGCAACAAAGTGAGGCAATTCTGGCTGTGAACATTCCTAGGTTTTTCAGTTTCAATCACTTTCTGTTGTATGTGTCTAGTGAATCTTAAATGGTACAGCCTTGATTTCAGTTGTGGGGAGATCTTGTGTTTATGTATTTTATTTAATTTGGTTGAAATTTTGTTCTGCTGAAATACTGACTTGGACTTTGGTTGGCCCAGGATCTCAAACTGAAGGTCTGTCAAGATTAGTAAATATAAATTAGTAAATTGGAGGTAATTCTCCACTGCTGACTTACACAAGTAAATTGTGGCTGTCTATAGACAGCTATTTCTAATAGTGATTAATACCTTAAAAATAGTAAATTATAAAGAATTAAGTTATATATATTCACAAAAATACTGACTGTAGAAGTAATTTTTCAGTATACTGCTACCATGAAAAACTGGTTTGCTTTTGTAAAATAAAGGGGGTTTTTCAGTGTTGTTTTTTTTTTAATCCTTTCAAGCAATTTCCTAAGTAATACCTGTTTTTTGAGGACTCTTCCGCAAGTTTTCTGCATGTAGTTGTTTGTGAACTGCTTAATATCTCTACTGTTTGTTACCTGCTGTAGGACTTTTACATGCTCACCGTGTTATACAATTAAGTTGTTTTGTATATGGATCACATGAATGTCATCAGGTGTTTATTTGTGGTGGTCAAAACCTGTTGTTGGCAAAGAATGATTTTCTCCAAATACGCTGTTCTGTGCAAAACATAATTAAATAGTTTGTGAGTTCTCTGAGGCATGGCAAGGTAGTTTTGTCAGAAGGTTTGTTGTCTTTTTCATCGCAAAAATGTATCGGTCCTCTTCGGATTCCTGAGTCTAGTTTCAGTGGACTGTTGGGTAACCGTGGCATAGGAAAAAAAAAGGAAAAAAAAAGAAGATGCCTTTGACGTGGGAAATATACAAAGTACTAGATTCTTCGGTAAATACTAATATTACCATATTGCAAATAGGATATATTCCTGGAGATCAGTAACATTTTAAATGTCTATTTCTTTAGGTTTTCTAATTTCAATTTACATCAATTATTAGCAGCGTGTTTCTTCATTTTAGCTGTGTGTGTTATTCCTGTTTACCAGAATATTAATACAAAACTGTTTCTACAACAGGGGCGTTGGCGGGATTAATTGACATTGCTGCTGACTGGATGACCGACTTAAAGGAAGGCATTTGCCTTAGTGCTTTGTGGTTTAACCACGAACAGTGTTGCTGGGGTTCAAATGAGACCACATTTGAAGAGAGAGATAAATGTCCGCAGTGGAAGACATGGGCAGAACTAATAATTGGGCAAGCAGAAGTAAGTATGTACCCATTCTTTGTGGTCTTCCTCAACAACTCGACTGAACATGGAGAGAAAATAATGGTCTTAGGGTACTAAACACGGATTTGGGTTGTACTGTCCGCTCCATTTGTGAGCGTTTGAATTGATTAATAGGGTGTAGTGAAATAAATGTGCATTTCATGCACTGCAAGGGGGCTTGGAGTGTTGGAGGTGTAAGGAAGGTCTGAGAGTATAGAACTGTTAATAACGTGAGAATTTCTATTCTTGATCATAGCTATACATAAAAAGATAAAAATGAAATTTGCGTTGTTCTCCAATAATTAAGAATAGATTGGTTTTATTTTCTGTGCCACAGCGTTTTTTAAATAAAGAAGATTTCCTCAGTATTCAGTAGATTTTAGCAGCTAATAGCTATTTAAAAAAAATAAATAACTGTGCTATGTTTATTTTTTCTTTTCAAGATGAGGCGTTAGAACGTTTTCTACCTTGTATAGCCCAGTCTTTGCTGACGTGCAGGTGTCATGACTATGCTTTTCAACCAAAACTCTCTCTTTCTTGGCTTGGTAATAATTACTGTCCCTCAAAATGTGTGCATAAGTGTACTTGCAGTAAGAATACTTGTGGGTTATTTTAAGTAGTGATTTTGCTCCTACATAAAATTCATATTCTGACATTGTTTTGTTTCTTTTTTAATTTTTTTTGCTTTTAGGGTCCAGGTTCATACATAATGAACTACATAATGTACATTTTCTGGGCTTTGAGCTTTGCCTTCTTAGCAGTTTCTCTGGTGAAGGTATTTGCTCCCTATGCCTGTGGCTCAGGGATACCTGAGGTGAGGTCTAACTAATATTTACATTATAGTTGCTTCATATTAATGTGAAAATTCTGTCTTACAGGGTCAGGGGGTAGGTAAGAGGGAGCGCCCTATGACTTTGATGAAATACGTTATTTCAATTTGAATACTTGTGTTAATGTAATTGTGCTAATTGTTGCTGAGAAAAATACCCCAGATTTCAGAGAATCTCCTGAGCTTGTAGATTTTGCTGCGTGCTTCTGGCTGGACTACTTTTTAAAGAAACATTTAGGTTAAGAGAGCAGTAGACTTCTGAAGAGTGATGTCCAAACCTCCCCCCAGTCCCCACCCTCCCTGTGGTGATAAGAGAGCAGTAGTTCATTGACAGAGTACGGGTCCTTTGATACAGCAATTGATCTTTTGTTGCACTGGCTTTAATCACTTTACCTGGCACAAACCGTCAGACAGTCACAAAGTGAGATGTGTAATATCCTCAAAACCACATGGTTAATACAATTACTGCTGCTGCACACAGAATGGGAGGGAAAAACCCAAAGTCAAAGTCTGGGCAGTCTCGCTTCTCCAGTCATTCTGTAACTATTTCTTTACATATGTGTATTGTAAAAGTTGAAGGACAAATCCTGCCTCTGAATAAGCCTGGAGTAGTTCTATGCCATTATGCCAGAAGAGATTTCATCCTAAATTGGTTTCCAAATTTAGCTAACCTTTACTTTCTAGACACAGCTGCCCAGTGTTTTGTGTACATCCTGTTTATAGACATGTTGTCCTTTCTTAGGGTAACTATTATTTCCTATATATGGGTGTATTTTCCAGGCTAATAACATGATGCTGTTAGGCAAAGTAATACCTTAGGTAAGTGGCACATCTTTTCTAGTGGGAAAAGGCTGCTCTTTTCCATCTTTATGTCAAGGAATCTACTGTTACATTTTTATGTGGAGATTATCTACTCTCACATTTTTATGTAGAGATGGTAAAACATAAGGAGAAAACAGAGGGGTAAAATTGGTGCAAATGTGATACGCCTACAATAGATGAGTATAGGTTTTGCAGGTTTATTTTTCTTTTGGGAGGAATGGTAATTTACATCATAAACCAATGAGTGCAGTCTTAGAAGCTACTGCAGATTAATTTTCTACTAAATGTACTTGATAGTGTTGTGGTGTGCTATTGTCTAGCATTTTAGAGTAAGTTGCAAATGGAAAACCTCTGGCAACCAATGGACTCAGTGTAGCAATCTGAACGATACGCGTTTTAAAGTGTGATAAAGATTTGAAAAGGCTATTTTTGAAGTTATATAGCTAAAATGATAAAATTAATTATTTTCTGAAGAAAGCAGAATACAATAACAGATATTATTTTTCCTTTCTTTCAGATAAAAACTATTTTGAGTGGCTTCATCATCAGAGGTTACTTGGGGAAGTGGACTTTGATGATAAAAACAATTACTTTAGTCTTGGCTGTCGCATCAGGTTTGAGTTTAGGAAAAGAGGGTCCCTTGGTACATGTTGCCTGCTGCTGTGGGAATATTTTTTCCTACCTCTTTCCAAAGTACAGCACAAATGAAGCTAAAAAAAGAGAGGTAAGTTTGTAAAAGCATTTCTAGAATGTATTGAATATCCATGCATTTACACAGATTTGTTTCAGAGATGGTATTTGTTCTCTCAGACAGTGTTTAGGCTTGGATTATCAATAGTTATGTATTGTGTTAAAAACAATCTGTTATGCCTAGCATTCTCCAAGGTAAATTGTTTCCATGTCAGAGTAAATTTGCATTTCTCCCACCTCAGACACAATTTGATTTTACTTGAATTCTTTCTGGGTTTGGCTCTACATTTGGGTAATTGGTAAGTGTCTTCAGTTGTGAGGACAGCAGAGGACTGACTTTTGAACCTGTGAGCAAAGTATTCCTGGGAAAGGGTTGGTGACAAGAGCGTTTCTGCTCTGTTTCGGTTTGCTGTTAGTGAGAGTGTGGTGGGTTAGCCTTGGTGCCCACCAAGCTGCTCTCTCAACCCTCCTCCTCAGCAAGACAGCAGGAGAAAATAAGGTGAAAAGTTCCTAGATTAAGATAAGGACAGGGAGATCACTCGCCAATTACCATCACAGGCAAAACAGACTAGTCTTGAGGAAGATTACTTTATTGCCAATTAATAACAGAGTAGGATAGTGAGAAATAAAAAGAAAAGTAAACCCACCTTGCCCTCACTCTCCCTTCTTCCCAGGCTCCACTTCGCTCCTGACTCCTCTATCCCGAAGTGGTACAAGGGGATGGGGAACAGGGGCTGCAGTCAGTTTGTAATGCTTTGTTTCTGCTGCTCCTTCCTCCTCACACTCTTCCTCTGCTCCAGCGTGGGGTCCTGCCCATGGGAGACAGTCCTTCAGAAACTCCTTTGGCACAGGTCCTTTCCACAGGGTACAGGCCTTCAGGAGCAGGACTGCCCCAGCCTGGATCCCCCACAGGCTGCAGTTCCTGCCAGCAAACCTGCTCCAGCCT